TGGCATGGAACCCAAAGCTCTTGCAAGTTCCACAACATACTTAACCTATGAGAGACGAAGTAGGAAACTTCAAAACTCTTGCATAGAAATTGATAAAAGTAATGAGACCTGGAGACAGCAAGCATAAATACCTGACCACCAGTATCTGAATCACGTCCAAGCTCCATACTTTCTCCTCGTATTAGTCCATGGAGGCTGCATGCATTCTACTCGTTACAAACAGCAAATGGTTATATGAAAAGCAAGTCCTAAAGTGCAGCTTCACATCACAAAGGAAATGCTCAAGAGACTTCCATACGATTTGAATTCAGCAAAAATTCCCAGCAGCACAAGAAACATAGAATAGAAGAATAAATAATCAGACTATTCATTGGGATATACTAAGTTGTATCACGTATACTGATCAAATTGGTATACATTATAATAATTAAACACCAAAAGCCTAAAGTTGAGTTCATGCCTTATCAGTACAATGTACAGCTTTTTCCCTTTCTGCTGGCTGGCCCATGCTTCCATAGCATCAGCAGAGTTAATCCTGGGCAGTCTTCCCCTGTTACTGTCACCATGGGTTAATAGATCACTAGGTGCATCTCCCTTTTCACCCTCTGACAAGTCTTCTGACATATCAGCAGTTGCTTCCCTGCGGCCCCTTTCACGTTCAATATGTCGCTTAGCATTTGTCTGAGCTAGCTCTCCCTCAAGCTACAAAATTCCAGTTTGTCGATCAGCTCTATATTTATCATTTCATCAGTTTGTCGATCAACTCTATATTCCGCTTTAGTAAAGCACATACATGCATAGAAGCATGCTAGAGTTGCATACTACTGTTCACAATCAAAAGATGGCGAGAACCCATTGACACTTTATCAACTTAAAAGTTCCAGTAAATCCAGCAAGTCAACAACAAATCACATTGAAATCCAGAAATGCAATACACGTTCGACTCCAATCAATTCATCTATCCCAAAATGAAGGAAAAACAGATCATCACCCTGAATCAGAACAGCAGTCAAACATTCAGCCAAACGGACATCACAATTCCACATAAACACCGTATCAAACACAGAAATCAAATGCCAAGAAAGCTGAGATAAAACCAAGAACAAACCTGCTTCTTCTGACGAGCCAAGTTCCAAATCCTCCAGCACATATTCTCCAATCTCGTGTTCCTTTCCTGTGGACTCCTCGTCGCTTGAGCCTTTCAATCCACACGACATCACCCCCCAATATCAAGAAATCAACAAAGCAAAAGGAACCCCGATTCAAGAACGCCAAATATCTAATCTCCAAATCGGGCAAACCAAACAAGCAGAGTAACCATCATCACTGCCTTTACTCACCTTGACCCAAGAGCGATGAAGATCGGTCTCATCGAACCCAGTGATGACTTCCTCGACGAAATAGCGAGTTGGACTGAACCTGCCTCGCTCCCTCAACAGCAGAGACGATTTGGCGTCGTCTAGTCCAGGACCCACGTCGAGAATTGCTTCCAGGTAACTGTTTATCCAGTCGTTCCCCGCCATTGTTGCAGACCCCTAGATTCCCCCAAGAATTCACCACAGTCCCCTAATTTCCAGTTTCTTCGTCAGGGTGTTGGAGAAAGTGGACTGTGGTTAAATATCATTGAATGAGAGAATGGAGAGAGAGAGAGAGAGAGAGAGAGAGAGAGAGAGAGAGAGGAAAGGAGTAGAAGAGAGTGGAAATCGGAATGAAAAACAGAGAGCGGCTTTTTTATACTTGCCATAGCTGCCTTGAAAGTTGAAACTCTTTTTTTTTTTGTGTGCAATTTTTCGCTTTTATTTGTTTTTTCTCCTGTTTTTCTTCCCCTTATCTTTCTATTTTCCAACATCTATTTCGAACCATATATTTTTTCCCTTACATATTCAGAATGTAATTAATTTTATTTCCTTTCAGATTGTTATACAAAGATAGTTGTAAGTGTACAATAAAGGAAAGGAAAAAAAAAATAAAGCTTTAGCAAACAATAAAAAGGAGTTCGAACATTCGATCATTAGGTTGCATCACTGAGACCGGCGAATTATGAATTCATAGTTCATTAAACAATGTTGCATATTTAAATAAGTTGTGACAACCATAGAGGAATATTGGCCAACGTGTCATGTATAGGAGAAGTTCAAGTGAATTTGATTCGAGAAAGTTGTATGTATTGTAATGATAATTTTATTTTTTGGGAAAACATTATGCAAGGAATTATTAACTTGCCTCATAAACCATAATTTTTTTAAATGATTGAAATTATGGGTCTATTGTGATGGTTGTGAAATTAAAAAATAATTGCACATGTATTTAATTTTTTTAAAATAAATACAAGGGAGAAGAGAGGATGCAAGGGTGTCTTAATGAAATTTTTGTGAAAGGGTTGATTAGAGTCAAGTCTAACGCTATTAAATTCGTATAATATTTTGGATTTAGAAATTTTATTAAAAGTAAAATTAGCTCTGCATTATATAAATTTCAAATGAAACATTCGTTTTTTTCTATGCAAAATAACATCTAGGTATTAATTTAAACAATAAAATAATAATAAATTTTTTGAGAATATTCCTCTAGTAGCAGTCATGTCGCACAATAATATATATGGTTCCAAAACAAGTAGTTATTAGGGATATATTTAAACGTCACTTGAATTTTGGACCCATGACAAAACTTATCTTAAGTACCATTTTAGATAGATAAATATATAAATATGTGGCCTGAATTTCATTTAACAAAAAAAAAAATGCAAAGGATAAAATTACTATTTCCCCTTTTAGTGTCACATCTTTGATTTCAGTTTTGAGAAGAAGACTTCACACAAACTTGAGTGTAAAATTAGACGCTACTCATTAGTACTATATTCTTCACTTTGCATCAAGTCTTCGCATAAATTTGTTATTAGATACCTTTTCAAAAGGTCTAATTTTCATGTAATACTTGAATTGTTCTCTCGAGTTAAAAATCACTGACTTTATGGGAAATCCCTCTCCTGGTTATATTGATTTGACAGATTTTTTTTTATCGACCCATGGAATTCTCATATGTAAATTTACGTTTGATCTTTCATATAGATGCATATCTCAAATCTCGAGATCACAGAACGAGAGTTCACACAACTAAAGTCTGTTGCACCATCACCAAACTTGAAAATCATATTTCGATACTACTTGTTGAAATCAGACGCTCCAATGTGGGATAATTGTCCGCTTTTAGACAAACCAAACGTATTTTGTATTTGACACCTTTATATAAGGCACTGTACTAACGCCTCGTATAATTCCGATTCTTCAAATATAGATCAAGACATGATACAAAAATTTTGCCTAACACTTGAAGAAATGTACAAACAACGTTCAAATCAAGACCCCGCTAGCATCATCAATCATATGCTCTCAATGCTATCTAAGGATTCCAAGTTCAACTAGACAAGCAAAAGAGTGAAAATTCTTCACGTCTCCATTTCCTTCACAAAAGAGTTGAGTTGAAAACTCTGCTTCAACACATAATTAATTACGACAAATCATCATAATTAACCTAACAAATTACAAATCAGAAATTGCCATAAAAACACCCAGGAGGAGGATTTTTCCCAGAAAGATCATGTCACGTCTCAGGTGTAATCTCTTTTTCCCTTTACAAAAGGAGAAGGAAACAAAAGGGGGAATATTTAACAGTTAAAACAGCAATCAGCAGTACACGTGGTGCTCTCCAGTGGGTTTCCTTTTGGAGTTAATTAAATAATGGGAAAAAAAACGAATAATTGGGGTACATAAAAATACAATATTATCAACAACAACAAAAAAAAATTACATTACAATTCAATATGTGACAACTCACACATAATTTGTCTAGATATTCGACATGAACCAACCTTTCACCATTATTATTGTACTAGAAAGGGTCCAAGCTGCTAACCTGATCATACATTTGGACCAATCATCAACCAAATTAGAACCAAAAAATGAAAAAAAATATATTGATTATCAAACTCCTAAGAATCATAGAACCACAAGAAAAGTAGACAATATGATAAAAATTTGATGATGTTTAGTTGAAAAAAGAAAACCAACCATGGAAGCTAGTCCCAATCAAGGTGGCATGTACCCACCACCATGTCTTCATGCAATTGAACGACTTGACTGTTGATTAAGGTAGGTGTGATGTGCTGCTGATCAGGGGTGTCGGTTTATTTCCATTTTTCGATTTTAATCGAAACCGAGATGATTTTATAGGTTTATTGGTGTCCCTTAACGGGTAAAGACCGATAAACTGTTAATTTTTTTGGTTAAAATCGAAAATAATTAATAAGATGATAAAAACTGATAAGCCTTAACGCAATCAAAAGTTCGATTTTGATTTTTTCGGCTAAATCTGACCGAAACCAATAAGCTTTTAATGGTTTCGATTTTGGATTGGACAATTGGTTACATCAGATTTCGGTTTATAATGGTTTATGGTTCGGTGAAGGCACACGAACCCTAAACACAGCCGGTACGATCACAAATAGGATATATGATATATCGTTGGACAAAAAAGCCAAATTCTTTGTTCAAGCATATAGTCATTCAATACTCCTCTAGTAGAAGGACCTAATCACTTAATTACTACTAGGGGTGTCAGTTCGGGTCGAGTTCGGTTACCCGAACCAAAACCCGAAAAAAACTCAAAACTGAAATCACTGAAACCCGAACCCGATAAGGATTTTCGATTTCCGGTTACCCAAAACCCGAACGCCTAAGAATACAGGTTGAGTTCTATTCCTCGGAGGTTTTCAGCCAGAACCCGAAAAACCGATAAGCAAAACCGAACCCGAACCCGAAACCAAAAAACCCGAAAAACCGAAAATGTATCTAATCGGATCGGTTTCTGGTAAACCTGAAAAACAGAACCCGAATGGACACCACTAATTACTACTCATGAACTCCCCTAGTCCTTGCAAACAATGGATCACATCCATTATAAATAAGGCGCATGAACCCTACAAGCGAAAAAGAAAACAAAATCAGGCTTATCGTTATTCATTTACATAACCAAAGAACCTAAGCTCTACTGAAAATCTGCATCAGTTATACATTCAATCTGGGGCAAAAACAACACACATATTTCCTGTGATTCCACAGTGCAAAGCAGGAAAGAAGAGGCTAATCTGCGGCGATGGACACAACTGAATACGTAAGTATCCTTTTCAACTCGTGATATCAGTTCCAAATGATGTTGATTCATCAGGACATCCAACAAAAAAGGAAGGTTGAACAAAGAGACCGGATTCAATGTCCCAGCACTTCTCAAACTAACATGATTTGGTTGATCAGAGAGATCCAAACACAGTAATAAAATAAAATCGTATACTCTCCTTCAATTAATTACATGCTTCTGATCCTAGGTTACATGATTCTCGAGATATAGAGCATGGGAAAAATTTATATCGCGGTTCTGGATTTACTGATTTTACCGGATTGAATCTGAGCTTGAACGAGGCCACATGCTTGTGAGGATCAAGTTGAATGGCGGCGGTGCAATCCAGGAGAAGAAATTCGGTAATGATCAAAGGAACTGCTTCAGGAACTCTGTAGCTACAAGCCTCCCTCTGGTGTTCACCGACATTTTCAGGTCACTGATCTCCTTGTCAATATCCTGCAGTTTGAAAAGGAAGAAAAAAATGGGAAGGTGGTTATGTTCTCAGGTGAAGCAAGAAGGATCAGAAGGGCTCGGATGGTGTAAGATATAAGAATAATGATCTGTGAATAGTGCACTATATCAAACGGACGGGACAGGCATGGTAGTTTGTCAAGATTGTCAGGCACGGATCCATAGTGGAACAAGATGAATTATAAATCTGCACTTTTACAGGACAGCATGTGCCAGTATTGAAATACTGAAGAAAGTGTCAGTTATCCAGTTAGCTCCTAAAGTTTGAAACTTGTTCAAGATGTGATGGGGTATGACTGAAAGATGCCAGAGGACATTCAAGAAACTCAAATGGTAGGCCATTGTGCCTGTACTTGTTACTAAACTTGCGGTGAAAATTGAGAGATAGAGAGGAAAGGTAAGTAATGCAGATTTGACAGAACCTTTCCCGAGTAACTAGGAAAGCAAGGCAAGACAGCCCTCAGCATCAAGATAATTATACTCAGGATTAACTAACCAACTGAGCAAGACCAGACATAGACAAGGCTGAGATTAATTGTTACCTCCATGAATTGCACAATGAAATCTATGAGCTTTTGCTTCTGCATTTCCTCACAATTGTAGTTTGTGACAAGAAAGCTTATATCATAACCCTGTGAGGTACCAAAATGGGGGAAAAATAGAAAACCACGGAGTAAGTATATTATCAACTACCTAGGCAAATGCTTATAGCAGTTCTCAATCAGTAAATGAGAATTCCCAGCTCACCTGTATTGGCTTTCGCCTCAGCACTTGAAATGCTTCTGCCCTAATTGACAAAAATCGAAGGAACTTCTTCGTCAGTATGTTTTCAAGTTCATCAGCCTGCTTTACCTGTCCATGGTGAAAAGGGGCATAAGAGCCCAAAACTATTATTACTGAGCTAACTTACCAAAAATGCAGCTTATTACAGTTTTCATTTACCACCAATTTGAAATCAAGTTCATGAAGTAGTATTATCACTAACCAAAAACACACAAAAGTAAGCGTTGCCTTGAATGTAAAACAAATATTTCTACTGCCCGATACGCACAAGGACAGCACAATAGGACCTTTGCTTTACCTTAAGGCTTAGTCGCAATGAATTGATCGATGTTTCTATTAAGCATCTTTCAGCCTCATTTCGACATATCAAAACCTGCAATAGTAAATTACAAATTCATCGCATAGAGTCAGTTTAGATGGGCGTGTAATGTATCATGCCCCATCATCGTACATTGTGAGAACAAGAACCTTACAGGATTCAGCAGAAGTTCAGCGCTTGTCCTGTAGCATACAAAAGAACTAATCAACATCTATGCTAAAAATTGCTTTGATGCCAATCATATCAACAACCAACCAATGAGGATTACGTCTATTCATTTTGAGGCAGTTGCTCTAAGAAGATCAATTCCTAGTGTCGAATGACAACATTGAATCCTTCATTGTTCTTTCCCCTCCATAACCAATTCCATTTGCATTACAGCAGAAATATATTAAAAAAAAACTTCACACAATAACAGAAGGGGGGAAAGGAAAGGAAAGAAAAAGAAGCAAACAAACAGTACTTTAGTTCAACCTCTGGCTTGTTATGCCTCTCGACTTCTTGACAAGGGAAATTCTGCAATTCAACCAAACATACCGTCAAACTCCAAAATCAAGTACTTCCATTGCTGTCGTTCCCACATAGTTATGAACACAGAGAGCTTGATTCCTAAACAGTACCTGTAGGCACATGGCCGCCTCTAGGGTGTTCCTAATGCACGTCAAATACAGCCGCAGCGAACTCGCCTGCATAAATTACTGCAACACTTAAAACCTAGCTCGCGAAACTATAAAGAAAACTAGAGAGCCAATGCTCGAAAACCGACTCGATCAATTGAATTGTGATGTCGTATTTCCAGTTTTTCGGAAACCAAACAGATGCGATGAATGGAAATGGAAATGAAAAGAAACGAGAAGATCAGCGAGAGCTTGGAAGACTCACCATTCCGGCGGACTGGAAATCGCAGAATATCTCCTTCCTGTGAAAAATGGAGAGTATCGCCGTCGTCGGAGCAAGCGAGCGCCGTGAAGTTCAGAGCTCTGAATTGGGAAATGGCGGACTTCTTCTTCTGATCTTCCCGAAGGTTGGGATCTGTGCTAAATTGCGCTTCTGGAGTGTGATTTAGCTTAACAAGCGCGGTTAATTTGCGTCTGTCAGATCATTTTGGATCGAAGGAATGCAGAATCGTAAGCCCACAGATGAGAAAAATGGGCTAAGAGTTAAGGCCCATGGGCCATTTGGCCGAGTAATTATTATATTGTAATTTGTTAGTCGTGATTAAAATGTTCTCCATTGCTAATGTTTTAACTTTTATGTTAATACATTTGTAATCATAACATTAGTGTTGTTAATATAAGGCTCACTTCGAATTTATCTTACTTTTAACATAAAATCAATTATACTAATGAAGTGAAGATTTCACGATGAAAACTTATGGGTTTAGGATAGGGTTTACAATCATTATTATTTATTGTGTATAACTAAATCTGACCTCTTGATTTTGAATATAGTTAGATCTAATGAGTAGTACATCATACATTGTGTAGAACCTAATTGGTCATCACCCCGTCAAACATAAATTGATCCAATTTGCTACCGGCCACCATGTTATAATCTTCAATTCATATTTTTGCTTCTTCAAAATATATCAAAATAAACATAATTTTGTAGGCTATCACCAATCGAATTCTTTTGTACCAACATGGTATATCATGGCAAATTCTTACCACTTTCTTGCACCGTGGTATTCATCTTCAGCACCACCATGACATATCATAATGTATTGAAAAAACACGTCATTTAATATTTTTCTCCAAAATGTCAAAGTATGTGTCAATTTGTATATCATAAGTAATCTAGTTTTTCTATGAAAAGTTCGAATATACGATAAAGCAAACGAGATATAGTCTGTTAAATGCACGAACTTGCTCTAAACCTCAACCTCCCATAAATAATAGATAATGGGTTTGAACTTTATATTAAGTCAAATTTATAAACTCGTGCACTATACATTTCGATCTCAATTTAAAAAACGGTTAGAGAGGTTAAGGTTTGAATTGAATTTCCCAATTTTTCTAAAAAACGTGACTGATTCACAACCAAGCATTTTCACTGCTAAAATTGGCAAACCAGCCCCCGCCTTCATCGCACGCCATTGCTCTACGAACAAACTTTCCTTCAATTCCATCTATAAAACCAAAAGGAAAAAAAAGAAGAGCATCCATCGAACATCAAAAGCAATAGAAACTCATCCATCCAGCACTCACTCACCCAAAGCAAAACAATAAGCTAAAAGAAGAAGAAAGAAGAAGAAATAAAAATGGAAGGCAAGTGGAGCAAAGTGTGGCTGATCGCGGCCGTGGCGGCTCTGCTGGTGGTGGCGGCATCATCGCAGCGCGACGGCGACAACAAACCCGGGCTGGGCAGCGACTTCGGATCGGCTACCCTGGACGATGTCATCCCCGCCGACGTCCTCACCGGCGGGTTTTCCGGGTCCCCGAGCGGAGCTCCGGCCTCCGCCCCGACGGCCAGGGATGACGGAACACCCTCGCCATCACCTTCATCTTAAATCTTAAAATATATTAAAGGGGTTCGAGATTTCGACTCATTTCATGTCAGCCTCGAATCAGTTTTAAGCATCCACAACAGGATGTTTTAAAATAAGTCATTTGTTTTTTTTTCCCCTTGTGATAATAAGATATCATTAGTAATAAACTAACAATTAGTTTTTAATAATGTATAATGTATTTCTTAGCCACGTAAAAAATTTGGCACAATTGCAAATTTTTTTAATATTCTAATAGCAAAATTTTATTGTTTTACTCATCAACTGGTTATTTATGATCTTGAATTGGTTATCTATGTCCAATCGATAGTATACCATTGCAAGATCGTTGATAAATTAAAACAATTCATTCAACTAGCTTTATACGATATAATATCAAAATGAATGTAATTTTATAGAGAATGACCAATCTAATCCTTTTTGCATCAACATGGTATATCATGGCAAATTCTTACCACTTTCTTTCACCATGGTATAATCTCCAGCTTCACCATGACATATCACGGTATAACGTGATAAAAAAAAACACGTCATTTAATATTTTCCACCAAAATATATGTCAATTTGTATATCATAATTAATCTAGTTTTTCTACGTAAAAAAAAATTGTATGTACGATAAAGCAAACGAGATATAGTCCGTTAACTCTTACTACACGATGTAGTTGTCTAGCGTTGCATAATCACGGGGTATTTACTTTTTATGACATGATTGGTGATATGATACAACTCGATAATCTTTCAAATATATCCTCTAATAATAAAATAGACAGGAGGAATGCATGTGAAGGTGAGCCGTTGATGTCGATATGGCCAAATTCGAGAGAATAGTACATGGCTTGATTCTAATATGAAAGTATTTTGATATTTTTAATATTGTTTTTTTTTTGTCGTTATAGATTGTAGATTGAATAGATACTATAGAGTATTGCCCAATCAAACGCGATAGTCGATAAATAGTCGAATCGCTGATGAAATGAGCTTTTAACATTGTTTAAGATTAAGTAGTTTGATGGGAGGAAATCATTCAAGGATACGTGATATTAGGTTCACATTAGGATTGGTATCTTGTCAATTTATGCGACTGATTTCTTGTCATTACAATCATGTTTTCTTTTGGTTATATTATTAGATTATGGTCCACTAGATTCTTAGGCTTTGTTCTTCCACTCACAAGAGTTATTAAAATTTAAGTTAATATTCATTCGAAAGAGGAAAGAACCTTCAAATAGGGTTGAACAAGACAAGAGTCAATATATCTAATATCATGATGAAAAAAGAAGGATAATCATAAAAAGGTTAAATAATTAACTAAAAACAATTAAACTCTTAATGCATATGATATGTGGAGAGTTTCTGTTCCTTAAAGGTAATAACTTTTAGTTTTTTACGAAAAGGATGAGACTGACGTATTGATGTCTCGTAACTGGTAACTCTATATGTAAGAAGGGAAGCTACACAGATGTCTCGGCGTCAAGTTGGATGATGATTAGTGACTAGTCTTTGACTAGCCTCCCACCCTAATTCGAGTCATCTTTTTACAATCCGTAGTTTTTGCTTTGTTGTTAGTCCGTGTACAACTTCTCGTGTACATTGTAAATGCTCTCAATAAGTGATCGTGCGTGTTCATTATTACAAACCCCATGCAGCAAGACCCAAATGTAAAGAAGTGAGAATCCGAATTCATTGTGATCCACCCTTATTGAGTCGGCGATCTCTATTATACAACAACATCTTAGTGCAACCTCAATTTATCTCTAAATGATATGAGTGAAAACATCGATGTTTTTTTTTTATAGGGGTGAACTGATTTTTAATAATTGGACAGGAGAAATTCATATAATTTTATTTAGAAAAGTTAATATAAAAGCTGGTTTAAGCAAGTTTGGAGAATTGCTGGACCAACATTTGGATTAGTTTTAGTTGTGCCATCTCCACACTGGTACTCTTTGGAAGAAATTAAACCACAAATTGCAGACGGCCAAAAGGTTAACTCGCAAGAACACATCACTGTTGAGAGCCCACCATCCTCTCTCACTTTCCTCTTCCCTTCCTTTCTTCATCACAAACAAACGTCAGGCCGGTCTAGCTCACACTTCCCCATTTTTCTCTTTATCTTTTATTTCCCAATTTCCATTTCGATTTCTTGCTGTTCTCCAACAGTTTCCCTCCACCTTCCTCTTCCTTATCCTCCCAACTCCTCTCTTTCTTCTCTGCCCGCCATCTAATTCTGGACTGAAGTGGAATCGAGCTCAAAAGCTCAATCCTTTACTCTTTCCAGCTGCCCCACGGAGCTCCTCCGTTATGTGGGTTGGTGATCTTCTGCGATTTGATTGTGTGGGCGAAGAAGGGTTTCGTTGAGCTTTGAGGAAAGGGTTGCAAGTTTAGAGCTTTGAATCCGATACTATCTCTGCTGTAGCAAGTGGGTATTTTCTTAATTGCAATGCCAGTTCTTCGAGCAATCAACCGAAGGAATATAACTGAGTCTTTAAATGGGCGGCAGCTAGGAATGGAATCATGGTTTTAGTCTGGAGCTGACTTGAATCCAGTTCCCTGACAATTCTTGAAGATTGAGTTTTTGCGCGTGAAGTTTGCAGAATTCTTTGGGTTGATTTCCTCAGTCCTTTATGGGCAGGTCTGGGTTTGTGATATCTTCATTTGTTTCTTCCTTAGTTTTGGTCGCCATATGTTGAAACTACTAGCGATGTCCTCAGTATGTTTAGATCATTATCAACAAAGATTGACATGGAGAGATTAATTTCATTAAGAGTAATTGTCACCATATTGAGCCAATTGTTAGCTCTACAGTTTCAACATGTATCTGCCTATGGGCATAATGAGATTCAATCAAGGGTTTGTGGTGCTGATCGCATTTCCTATTCGAATAGTGTGGGTGGTGAAGGTTTCCTCATTAATGGAAGTGTTGTAGACTTAGATTCACTATGCAAGGCCCTCCATTTTCACATTGCGAGCGGCTGCATCTCTGCCGAAGACTACTTTATGAGCCTCTGTCGATCCGAATCCGAATCCGAATCCTCATCAGGTATCTGCTGATAGTATATTGGTGTGGTTGTTTTCAATTAATGATCTTGTTTGCTTGTAATCCCTTGTAGCTTGGAAGATACTCCTTAATTTGTTAACTGTTACTTGTAAGGGCAGGTAACCCACACCACAAGCCAGCAAGAAAGCTTCTACAAAAGGAGTTTAAGGAAGAATCATCCAAAGAACAGAAGGCAAAAGATCCAAGTAATAATCTTTCCGCGAAGCACATTGGGATAATAGCGACTGGAATCATTGCGATGTGTTGTGGTGTGCTCTGCCCCTGTATATACAAGAGAAGGAAGGCTACTTCACACACTGTTCTTTCTAAGGATCAAGTTTCAAGTGAGTCCTTTAAAGCTCCTTTTCATGTTTATAGTTGATAGTTAGAGCTACATCGAATTTATTTCGTGCTTAAGTTGATAGTTACCTAACATAATCTCTAAAATGCTGTCATGTTATCATAACCGCAGTCGATTCAGTTTCCTCCTTCGATGCGCCGCCCTCTGTTCATGATAAAGTGCCTGCTAGTCCACTTCGTGTGCCCCCAAGTCCTTCTAGATTCTCACCGTCCCCTAAACTTTCTAGACTTGGGTCGGTTCATCTGAACCCGAGTCAAGTCACCAGAGCTACACGTAATTTCTCTCAGTCACTGAAGCTAGGTGAAGGAGGCTTTGGAACCGTGTACAAAGCCCACCTGGATGATGGGCAGATAGTTGCCATAAAAAGAGCTAAAAAGGTAAGGCCTTGAACATGTACCTAACTTAGAACCATTACTTTTTGACCAGATGCTTTCTTTTTTCAAGTATACAATGCACAAGAATCCTATTAGTTTGTTGCTGTTTTAAACTATGCATCTTTTTGGTGGTTACTCGAGTGGGTACCTGAAATGACTAGTCTTTTGACCAATTCCTAAAATATCCAAGAGGTCTCATGAAGAAGACATTTTTTATTCCTGGAACACCTTCCTTTATTTGCTCTTTGCTAGATTAAGGATTGCCCTAGCTCATGGCAGGGGTAGTGTTCTTTTGTGAAGAGTTCTTCCATGGTACAACTTTTTTGGAAATGTTACCAATGGAAGAGGGCTCCTCTCATGATTAGTGGGAACAGGCTTTCCATATCAGAGATAGGACCAGTTTTTTTTTTTTTTTAACTAACTAATTAACAGGAAGTTGGCAAAGTTGTAGGAGTTAGGAGCAGGGATGCTTAACAGTTTCAGTACTATGGGTCACTCATATCAATCAATTCTCTTGTTCATAGTTAGGATTTCCCCCAAGTTTTGCTGAATTTTCTCTCCAGAGATTGTTGAATGTCATGTTTGTTGTGTTCCTTCTTATTAGCTCAATCCAGTTTGTAGTTTTGTCTTGGGCATTCTGTTGGTTAACTTTGCATAACCGAATGTAGGAACATTTTGAGAACTTGCAAACAGAATTCCTCAGCGAAGTTGATCTTCTGGCAAAAATTGATCACCGGAATCTGGTGAAGTTACTAGGTTTTGTCGATAAAGGACATGAGCGGCTTATCATCACAGAGTTCGTCCCGAATGGTACCCTCAGAGAACACTTGGATGGTCAGCGTGGAAAAATTCTGGACTTCAATCAACGGCTTGAGATAGCCATCGATGTTGCTCATGCTCTTACATATCTCCATCTATATTCAGGTTGGTCAAAAGATTGAACCTTCTTTTCTTTTAGTTCCATGTTATGCAAGTCCTAATATTTAGTTCCATAACAGAGAAACAAATCATCCATCGAGACGTGAAATCGTCCAACATTCTTCTAACGGAGAGCATGAGAGCCAAAGTGGCTGACTTTGGATTCGCGAGGTTGGGTGTGGACTCCGACCAAACTCATATCTCCACCAAAGTCAAAGGCACAGTGGGATACCTCGACCCTGAATACATGAAGACATACCAGCTCACCCCTAAGAGCGACGTGTATTCATTTGGGATACTACTCTTAGAAATTCTCACAGGCCGTCGTCCTGTGGAGCTAAAGAGACCTGCTCCTGAGCGAGTGACCCTTAGATGGGTAATCTTCTTTTAACCTTGAACAAGTCAAGCTTCCTTTAAAACCTTTTGACCGATTGATGTTGAAGCTTTGAACTACTCAATTTGCAGGCATTCAAGAAGTACAATGACCATGCAGTGGTGGAGATGGTGGATCCTTTGATGGAGGAAGTTGTGGACGCAGGTATACTGAGAAAGATGGCGACTTTGGCCATCAGATGTGCAGCTCCTGTTCGGAACGAGCGGCCTGATATGAAAGCTGTAGGAGAAGAGTTGTGGGGGATAAGATCTGACTACCTCAAGAGTTCTAGAGGAGGGTAGAAAGAAATATCAATCATGTCGCGGTCAAACATGAACCTGGAGTCGAATCTTACAAGCATCTTCTTTCCCTGCTGCAGAATCCCACATTGTAAACAGACCCTTCTTTTTTCGGACGAAGTATAGTTTTGATTTGTCTAAGGTTGATTCCCATTTTCGGCGCATTGTATCATTGGCTTGATTGAGGTCGATACAGAAGCTTGGCTGTGTATGGTTACGTTCTTCTTCTTATCCTTCAAGCAAGTTCTGGCTTCTCCATGTCTAGAGTTTCTCCAAGAACATGCTGCAGTCAATTCGAGCAACATATTCCTAATGTTGTACCAACTTTGATATTGATGAACTTGTTGCAAACATCCAATTGTGACTACTACTGTTAGTTATTCCGAATTTGATTGTGTGCATGTTTATTAAAAATCGAAATACAGTGATGAATCTAATAATGATCTCAAAGTTTCATGATCATTTATGTAATTGACCCTCTACTTCCGCCTCTCTTGTTCTTCTCGCTGTTCGGTTTCCACAGAAAAGAAAAATTCAAATTTACAGTTGTGCAATTCTGGTGGATCTTTGGATTCTTCCCTTTTATCACAGCCAGTTGCAAACCAAGCAAGCCACAGTCAACTTTCAATTCTTCTCCTTCCTTTTTGATTCTTCAACTGGAACTTGCATGACTCTGTTTCTTCAGGTAATTCTGTTTCCCTTCGCTTTCTTTACCGTTCTTAGCGAATTCTGTTTCTCTGGGTGGTTGTTTGATTTCCCATGGTCGCCAGTGGAAAACCCTGCTCTAGAATCTTGGAAAGTTTTCTACTTTAACTGTTTCAGCGCTCGATTTCTGCTACGTTTCCAGTGAAATGTCTTCATCATTCGTGCAGACAATGATGAATTTCTGCTGGGTTGCTTGAGAAAATGATTCTTCAGGCAGGAGCTTCTTCCTGCTTCAGCTCAATTCCACCATGCCCAATCTCGAGCTCCAATCGCCAACCCTCGTCTCTAACGACTCCCAATTTCATCTCAATTAGATACAGAAATGGTAGAATGTGAGTAATTAGTAAAAGGTTCTTTCACTGACAAGATCTAGAGTTCAATGTGCATCGCAAGCTGGTGCTGATCTCTCAAGGCTTCTTGCTGTAGGTGTGAGTTCCATGACTTGCATAAAGAGCTGGTCCCTTACGCCGACGCTTGGAAATGGCAAAAGGACATTGTTGCAGAGAAGAAAGCTCTGGTGGAGACCAACCACGATTGCCCTGATACATTGATTGTGCTCCAGCACCATCCTGTCTATACTTTGGGTATGGGTAGTTCATTGGAGCACCTTAATTTCGACATGAACGATGCTCCACTCGATGTATATCGAACTGAGAGAGGTGGAGAAGTTACGTATCATGGACCTGGACAGGTACTAACTAACCTGTCTTGAAAATTTGCAGCAGACTTCTCTCAGTTCTATCGAATGCTTTAGTGATGCTTCTTGTATTCACTTTCAGTTAGTTATCTACCCAATAGTTAATCTCCGAAACCACAAGATGGACATCCATTGGTACCTCAGGGCGCTCGAGGAGGTGATCATTCGTGTTCTCTCATCAGCATTCTCCATCGAGGCTTCCCGAGTTGATGGCTTGACTGGAGTCTGGTTTGGTATGTTCTTACTCTACCTTCTGAATGAACTTCAGAGAGATCATGAAACATTTGTTATTATGTTGTCAGGCGATCAGAAACTGGCTGCGATTGGGGTGAAGGTTTCTCGGTGGATAGCGTACCATGGAGTTGCACTGAACGTGACCACGGATTTGGCGCCTTTCAAATCGATAGTGCCTTGTGGGATCAAGGATAGAAGGGTGGGAAGCATCAAGTCATTGCTGGGCATAGATGATGATGATGATACTCAGCTGATTGAAACTGCTTATAAGTCGTTGATTAAGGAGTTCTCTGAGGTTTTCGATCTCGGAATTCAGCAAATAGCTTCTTCCCCCATTTTGGAGGGTTTAGAGCCTTAGCTTTCAACCGTTCCTTGTATCAAACATAACTTGAAGGGAATCACTGACAGTTCAAAACTGTAATGGTAATTGGAAGAAAAAAATCTGTAATGGTACATTAACATAACCTGCATTGCTCAACATTCTTGTTAGCCAGAAATTAACTCATATAAACCTCCCTGTCCCTAAACTGCAAATGTACAACTTTATAGTCGATCAAATCCTCTTCAGAAGATGCTGAAAGTCCGTGGTACCTGCAACCTCAACCTCTTCCATCTGCTCCTGAATAGCAATGGATGCAATCCCAGTACATGTTCTGGCATGAAATCATGCCTCGTCAAGATTCCTACCACAGGTGATCTCTGCAAATTTCAAAGGCGTGAACTTTTTAGTTAGAAAAATCACTAGAGAAGAAGATGATGATAGACACTTGTAACGAGAGTTGTCGTCGAGATCATACGATATCTATCGCTCTAAAATGGTAACAATGTAAGATAAATCAGGCAGCAAAAGAGCTACTTACATTGGTGATCTTGGGGATAACCAAGAGATGTCTTAACCCGAGTTGTCTGAACAGAACAAGAGCCTTGGCAAGCGACATCGTCTCCACGACAGTGTATGGAGAAGCATTCGTAAAAGGATGCAAGTCAACGTACATCTCCATCTCCTCTGCACTAATCTCCAAATCATCAATGGTGTCCCGAGTCCCTGACCCTCTCTTCGCGAAGTCGGCAGCCGAGAACTCCACGCCGCCTCCTCTGCTCTCTGCTGATGTTGACATAAAACCGTCCTTCCTCTTTAGCAGCTCAACGAGATGGGCTCGAAGGATCAACCCGTAAAGCACTCGTGAATCGTCCTGGGAACATTCATCAACAACAGGGAATCCATTGTGCTTCGTGATCCTCAATACATGAACAATAGTTCCAACCTTCTCAACTCCGTGGAATGTCCAAAGAGGACCGGAGAGCACGTCAGCAACCGTCAGTTGTCTCATGTAAGGTTCAGTGTGTGCCACGAGATACGGAAACCCTTTCGCCTTCATGATCAAGTCATAGATATTGCCGTTGAAAGCATCAGCAACAGTTTTAGAGATCAGTAGAACCAGCATTATCAATGGCAGTAACAGAAGATTGTTTGTGAGCTCGAGAAGGATCACACATAGAGAAACTGTCATCCTCATTGATCCACCAAGGAATGATGCAGCTCCCAGAACAGCGTAGAGGCCATGGTTGAGGCTCGAGTGGGGTCGACCGCCAAACAGCATTCCAACAAACCGGCCATATGATGCACCAGTGACTATGACAGGGACAAATAGACCAACCGGAGCAACGATACCGTAGCTGAGGATGCTCAGGACGCAGCAGATAAGGAAGAAGACGAGGACTGAGGAGGCATGGAACTCGGAGTCAGTATTCCTACTGAAGAGGTTACGAATGGCGTCATCATTGGTGTTGAAGATGAGGCTGGCGAGATCATTGTAGTGGCCAGACGAACACTGAAACTTCTTGTAGTTGCCTGACCGGCCTATCGTTGGACAGGCCTCCAATGCATCGGGTGGACATGGCTGGCATGAGCCGAGCCATGGGACTCCAAAGAGGAGGCATGATGTGAATAGTGATATCAGACAAGCTAGTAGGATCTTGTAGACCGTGCCTTTCCTAGCAATAAGGAATCCAGAGTTAGTCATCATTTGTTCTGAGATAGGGATGTACAGCAATTCGGTTCACATTGGATCGACTTGGATCACGATCGAATATATACACACCTTGATTCTCAAGAAGCTAACAAGAAGTGATTAGGATCTTACTCGTTGATGAAGTTGTACATTCGAAGGACTTTCTCTAGCAGGAAGTTATAGAAGCTTCCCAAAATGCCTCCCATGACTCCAAGAAGAAGCACAGAAGGGACGTCAGTAAGATGGTAAGTGATGCTTGCTGAATAGACGTCGAACATGATGAGCCCTCCTTTGCCGAACAAACCACACTTCCCGCTCAAACACACATCGATCAAGGCGCGGAGAACTATGGCAACTACAGCCGTCGCAAAGAAAGATCTCCACAACAGGGCACTTCTCCACCTGCAAAAAAGCAAGACATTGTAGAGAGACTTCCAACTCCTTTTGGCATAAGGAGAGCAGCATTATGAGAATAGTTAGCCAGCCATACCAGGATGCCATTTCCTCGAGAGCAAAGAGCACACCGCCAACAGGGGCGCGGAAGGCAGCAGCTATTCCAGCTGCCGATCCACAGGTCACGAGGTCTCGCCTGTCACGGTCGTTCTTGAAGAATCTCAACCATTTCCATGTTAAGCCATACTTCTTGGAGCCACCTTGGCCGAGCAAGGATGCAACGCAGGCGCCTGTGTGGACCATTGGCCCTGCCTTCCCAACTACAAGAGATGCTGACACAGCTGAGATGCTTCCAACAACCTGCATAATTAAAGATCGAATTCTTATCGCAGGTTCGTTATGGTTGATATGTCCTGAATCCTGATCCTTGTCCTAAAGTGAATTACCTAATCTACCTCGTACTCCAGACAACGAGCTAATATGGATATAGAAATACCCGCCCTATCCCACTCCATTGTCATCCTTGCCTAGGAAAATACCATATTTGAGCAAACCTAAGCTGAAGAAAGCATCTTGGGTAATTACCTTGACAAACAGAGTGCGCAAAGATAAGATTCCTGGAGCATCCACACCATTGAGGTAAGCCTTCACCTCCGGTATACCAGAACCGGCGGCAGCCGGAGCTATGAATGCCGTGATGAGGGTTGCAAACAGAGTCAATACCAAGTTAGATGCAGAGAACACGAAAAATGCCATCTTAAACCTGCCATGCCAACCATTTCCATCCTAATTCAGCGAGGAAAGAAAAGTAAAAGCTTTGGAACTTTAGCTCGACAAAAACAAACTGCTAATCTCCAACCTCCCGGCGAGCATCATGTTGGAAGTGACCACGAACTTCAATCCAGCAATGTTCTCGACGGCCAAGTTATTGAAGAACCCAATTACGCTAACAATCAACCCAACAAGAAAACAGAGCGACCACTTCATGAACAAGTACTGGAACATCTGCTTCTTCCCGCGAGACCTCCAGTCCTGCTTGAACACGTCATTCTCCGCGATTCTGCGCCAAACCCAGTAAAAATTAACTCGAACCCAAACGGGGGAAAAGAAAAAGAATCAGACTTTCGAACTGGGGAATCTCACTCGTAGTCGAGGCTTTCGATCGGGCAGACATTGGCGCCGACGAGGGCAACCTGAGAGGTGGAATTGATGAGGGAACGCTGTGGGAGCAATAAGGGAGATGCAAGTGATTCAGACCCGTCGTTGCCATCGTCGCCACCACCGTCCGGGGAAAGTCTGTTCATCGGGGGTTTTGAAAACTGAGAGGAAAGGCACAACCGGACGGCGACAAAGTTGAGAAAGAGCAGGGGAGAGTAGAGTCACTCTGCCTCTAGCTGTGGGGCAGAGTCAACGAAGAAGGGAAGCGACCTACGACTATTGTGAGACTCGGAATTCATTTATTTTTCTTTGTAATTTGTATGAAGATGATATTGATAGGGTTTGTTATATATACGGTTTGTTGTTTATTGATCTATTGTCCCATTTATTGAGTTTGGATTTAGACATCTCATTTGGGTAGTGACTTACAACTTACAAACTTGATCTTTATGGTTTCTAGGTTCTAATCATTATAATTTTACGTGGAATGGTAAAAATATTTTTTAGTTAATCAGAACGATATGATATGTAACCGTAATAAAAAAAATTATATCAATTTTTTTTTGCATTATCGAACTGATAAACTACATGAACATGGTATATCGACCAGTTTTGACCTACGCTATATAGATACGATGTTGACTGAATATATTATCTTATGGAATGAGTTATGGTACAAAATCTATACAATTCGCGTCTTACCGTCTCTGATATGAATCATATCATCCTCTGATATTATCGTAACAGAGTGGTATGATTCATATCAAGGGTCGTAAACACTTAGTCGTTTGGATGTGGAAATGTAATGCAGTAATTGGACCCAATTACCATATAATGCAGTAATTGGGTTAAAAACCCACGTTTGGGAGAGCAAAAATGGTATGGAAATTGGACCATGGAAATTGGCTTCAATTACCACAATCATGGTAATTGAGAATACTACACCTCCCCCTAGTAGTTTGACATTACCACGTTTTCTTACTTCTTTTTCCAAATTCCACACCATCAATTCCCACAAAACTAAACCCTATCCAAACGTGAATTATTTTTCAATTTCCACAAGTCAATTCCTTGGTTTTGTAAAACATGTAAATTCAGACAAATTTCAACGTTTTAAAATTTTCACATCCAAACGACCCAAGTTTTGGGGTGTTGATTTGTATCGTATCACCTCCCTTGTTTTATTGTAATAACCACCACCACCAATTTTCATAATAATTATAATTATGAAGGACGGTAAAGAAATAATCATGAATTTTATTGATCATTAGTAAAAAAATAAAGATGCTTATGAAAAATGGTTAAAATTATTATCTTTTTCGTTGAATAAAAAGTGGGAAATTATTCGCCCAAAAGGCACAGAAAAAGGAAGAAATAAAGACAGATTCCAAGCTCCCGAAAGAAAAGAGTTTGACGCCGATCGGCCAAGAAAAGAAAATCGGAAAGGTCGCCTTCATTGTCGGCAGCGACGGCGACCCTGACCGCCGACCAGTCTTCTCTCACCCTTTCGTTTCCCTCACATCTGGCCCTTCCAAACCGCGTGTGTGTTTATAACTTGTTAGTTCATTCGCGAGCAGAGCAGAGAGAGCCACGTCCCTCACTCCCCCACACAAATCTTCGATTCCAACGTCGAATTTTCCCATTTCTTCTTGTTCCAACTTTCCCATTAATCAATTCCCCATCTGACCCACCATCCAAAAAACTTCCTTTCCCAGTCCGTTTCCCCGGAAAACCCGTTACTGTTTCACTTCATCTACTCTTCTTCTTCTTCTTCTTAATCCTCTGTTTTCCCGCTGCACCTCTTCTTTCCTCTGCTTCCAGCTGAACCCAGCTGGAAGAAATGTCCTTCTTTGTTGGCTTAGTCGTCGGGATAGTCGTCGGTCTTGCTCTGATCGTCGTCTTTGTCCGCTCCGAGAATGCGCGATCCAAGCTTCGAACTGACCTCGTTAGTGCCTTGGTTCATTGACTTTCGTTTTACTTCACTGGATGGACGGGAAAGTTTTGAACTTTGGCAATTTCATGATGTGGGGTGTCCAATTTCTTTTTCTGGGGTGCAGGCGGCGACGGTGGCGGCTTTTGCGAGAATGACGGTCGAGGATTCTAGACATCTGTTAGCTCCTGAGTATTACCCTTCTTGGGTCGTCTTCTCTCAGCGCCAGAAGGTTAGAAGTTGTTATTTGATCTGTGTGTTTCTGTAAAAAAATTGTCTCTGCTGGGTTTCCTGATTTCTTGGGGGGTTTTTTGTTTTTGTGTGTGTGTGTATTGCACAGTTGAATTGGCTTAATTCTCATCTGACGAAGATCTGGCCTTATGTTAACGAGGTTTGTAACTTCAATTTCTTATTGGTTAAGCTCGAATCTTGATGAATGTTTGAGAAATCGTGGTTTGATGCGGGAAGTTGAAATGTTGTTTCTTGGAAATCTTGCCGCATTGTAGGCAGCGTCTGAGCTGATAAAGAGCTCAGTTGAGCCGACTCTTGAGCAATACAGACCCATAATTCTGTCATCGCTCAAGTTCTCCAAGTTCACTCTTGGTACAGTTGCCCCTCAGTTCACAGGTTGGTCCTCTTCTTGCTCTTCTTAAATGATTAGTGAAACTTCGATCGTTGTAGATTCACAGTATAGGATTGTGTTCCAATAGGGTACCTTTAGCTGATTAAGATTCCGTTTCTCGGAAATGTCGTGGAAGAGTGTGGGTCTCTAACTGCACGTTCAATGATTTGGTTAATTGTTGCGAAAGATTGTTTAACTTTGGTAGTCCAAACGTCCTTACGAAAGCAATGCCATTGTGTCATTTTCCAGGGGTATCTATTTTGGAATCTGATAGCAGTGGTATTACTATGGAGTTGGAAATGAACTGGGATGGCAACCCTAACATAGTACTTGATGTGAAGACCAGGCTGGGTGTTTCATTGCCTGTCCAGGTACTTATTATTATTACTACTCAAAGAATTGCAATGTCAACCATTTCAAGGAATTATAGACCACAATGTTGAATTATCCAAGATGACTGATATCCGAGATCAAGCTGTTTGCATCCTTTTGCCACTGCAAATATGTTGACGGTTGTTGTAATGTGAAGGAAGTTAGCTTCATCTGTGGAATTCCAATTTTTTACGATCTTTTTTTCTTTTGTATTTCATATCTTCTACGCAGGTCAAAGATATTGGATTTACTGGGGTCTTCAGGTTGATCTTCAGACCGCTGGTTGAAGAGCTTCCTTGCTTTGGAGCTGTTTGTTACTCATTGAGACAAAAGGTTCAGTATCTTGTCTTTCTAGTTTTGACAACTTCTGATGTAGAGATTATAATGTTCTTAAAGAGCATTTTTTGGTTGTGCAGAAAAAGTTTGACTTTAAGCTTAAAGTAATTGGAGGTGACATAACATCTATTCCTGGACTCTCGGGTGCTCTGGAGGTTCGTAATTAGTTTTTTTTTTTTTGAACTCTTCTTGTGCCATGAAACTTATGCTAATGTTAATCACAAAGCCACTTCCTCACTGTGTACAGGATACAATACACAATGCTATTGAAGACTCCATTACCTGGCCGGTGCGGAAAATTGTCCCTATCTTGCCAGGGGATTACAGGTGTGGCAATCTATGATATACATGTTATATTTGCTTCTATAGATTGATCTAGACCCATGAATCGAATCATATTTTAGTTTAGATTCTGTTCAGGTAGATCTAATATTGTAGGAGTAATATTTGGTTGAATGTATTAGGATACTCAACATTTGGTGCAAAAAATTCAAAAAAACGATGCATTGTGGACAATACATGCATTGTAACTATCTCAACCAAACAATCACCAAAACCAAACGACCCCTATATGTTTGCCTAGCTATTCCCGTCTTCACGACTCATCAATGGGGAAACCTTCCTTTTCCTATGTTCAGTGACTTGGAGTTGAAGCCATCTGGTACACTAGAAGTGAAACTGGTGCAGGCCAAAGGCTTAACAAATAAAGACTTCATCGGGAAATCAGATCCCTATGCCGAACTGTACATTAGGCCGTTGCGTGACCGAACAAAAACGAGTAAAATCATTGTAAGATACCTGGTCTTTTTTCATAGCTCATAGTTTTCTTTGGAGAAGGTTTTTATATTTTTGTTCATGCAGAGCAATGATCTGAATCCAATCTGGAATGAGCACTATGAATTTGTTGTTGAGGATGCATCCACTCAACACTTGTATGTTAAGATTTATGATGATGAGGGACTACAAGCTTCTGAGCTACTTGGATGCGCTCAAGTTCAATTAAGTGAGCTTGAGCCTGGTAAAGTGAAGGATGTGTGGTTGAAGCTGGTCAAGGATTTGGATGTCCAAAGAGACACCAAATACCGAGGGGAGGTGAGGTTATGGCAGTCAAAAAACTTGCTGAAGTTCATAATTATGGTAAGGTAGATTTTACATTTATGGTTTGTTGTGATTGATACGATTTTAGGTGCACTTGGAGCTTCTCTACTGTCCGTATGGTATGGAGAATAGCTTCACCAACCCCTTCGCCAAGAAAGTTGAAATGACAACCTTGGAAAGGGTGCTCAAAAGTTCAGGAAACGGGATAGCAGATGCTGCTCAAACTGAAAGAGAAGTCTCACAGAAGAAAAGGGAGGTGATTGTTAGAGGAGTTCTTTCTGTAACCGTGATTTCTGCTGAAGATTTGCCTGTGGTTGATCTCATGGGCAAGGCTGATCCTTTCGTTGTTCTCACCATGAAAAAGTCGGATACTAAAAACAAAACCAGAGTAAGTTTCTCTCCGATTACATTTGTGATGAGTTTCCAATGCTGTCTCCAGTTGCTTCGGTTTATTTTGTATATATTCAATTCAGATTCAGATTCACATTCACCATTGTACTCTTTCTTCTCGACAGGTTGTGAATGAGAACTTGAATCCTGAGTGGAACCAAACATTTGACTTTGTTGTGGAGGATGCACTGCATGATATGCTCATTGCTGAAGTTTATGATCATGATACATTTCGCAAGGTAAGTTTGACTCCATCCTCTCTCAAAGCTGCCGTGAATGGTGTTTTCTTACGAATTTGGACTTTTGGTAGCACTGTTCTTATTCCACATTTTGTTGTGCAGGAGTATATTGGGAGGTGCATCTTGACATTGACCAGGGTCATATTAGAAGGAGAGTACAGAGAATGCTTCCCACTGGATGGTGCTAAATCTGGAAGGCTGAATTTGAGCCTCAAGTGGGTCCCACAACCGATCTACCGCGATTCCCAGTAGTAGCAGGCGACACAACCCATAGTTTCGGTATTCAGAAATTCTCATCCATTGATCATAGAGCTCAGTGTATCTCATAGCTTGGAAACAAGCTGTACATAAGAATTCTTTTTGTGAATTACCCAGAAGATTGTTGTTTCAATGGATGGATAATGAGAGCTCTATTGAGAATGAGATGATAGGAAGCAGAGCCTTTTTTGACATGTTGTAACCGATATATCCAGCCCAACAGCATCCCTGTTACAAATATGACCTAGACAAGGATTGCATTATGCATTTGCTTTATACATTGAAGAAACTGCCATAATATTCAGCAATTGGCTGCTGATTCGGTGTGGCCTCATCACTCTGAATGCAGCAAGAACTTGGTAGTAACCGGCTGGATGATACTTCTTAAGTGATGCTTATTTAGTTTTCTGCGTCTCAGATTGCCTCCCCTGCAAGCAATGCAACAAAAGTTCAGCTGGGATGTAAAAGGTCCGGAGGAATTTGCAAGTTCCTCAATCGAAATGGTGACGAAATTCCCCATTCTAATTTGCTTACCAGTATTGGTTGAGCAATACAAATGCATCAGTGGGCACCTTTTTGCCATCGTCATTGCGGTTCCAGTGGTACAATGCATGTGTTCTATTCATTATCTCTAAAGTTGAATGCCCATAACTGGCTTCCCTGAATGCAGAATAATCTGGCTGTGGTTCCAAAAACCTGCACAAACCATCAATGGGATGGTTTATTCCTTGGTTTGAAAGCTTATTAGCTACTGAATCCGTTAAGAGTTTCGGATTATATGTATTGTTGTATACCTTCCAGCAAGACCTTCTTGATTCCCTCCATCCCCTACTGTAATGTAAACGGGTGCAGATTTGTCTGGAATAGGATATCGGGCGCCACTTGTCACATTGTATTGTATGTTTGATATTCGGTACTGGAGGTAGATATAAGACAGAAATGGATTAGCTTCTCAAACGCTGCACAACTCTATTTTAGTAAGAAGTTAAAGCTCTTCTAATTTACCGATCTTTCATAAGCGTGGACATGACCAGCAAAGATAATATCGACTCTGTATCGAACAAACCACTTCTCGAAAGCTGCACGCATACTTTCTCCCTCCATGTAATGCGCATCATTGCTGTTGTAGATAGGGGCGTGCATGAGAACAATGAGCCATGGCGTCTTCTCTCTGTTGACATTCTTCAGCTCTTCCTTCAGCCACGTCCATTGTGGAGTGTATTTCACTGATCAAAAAGATTGAATTAGAGAACAACTAATAAAATATCATAGAGAAGAACCAAAGTTAGAAAGGTTACCGAAAGGTGAATAGCTGGAGAGTACAATGATATGAGCAGATGCACGTTTGACGGCATACCAAAGAGGACTAGTGCTTTTGGAAGCCAAGTAAGGAGTAGGGTACCGATGAAGAAAGTTTTTGAAAGGAACAACCTCATCCTGAGAAATAGGAGTGGACAAAATGTTCTAGAATTACTCAAATGTAAAAGCTCAAATCTCCAGTATTATGGAATTGGAGAATTGCACGAACAAGTTTACCATGTATGGCATGAACTCAATTTCGTGATTTCCAGCAGACCACATCCATGGCTGATATGCTGTGCTTTGCTCGACAAAACGGGCCCATGTATCCCATCGAATCCCAACATCATTGTACTGGTATCTGTCTGCATAAGAGAGGTCACCAACAAATAACACTGCATCTGCCCCACTCTCCATGTAGTGTTGAAGGGTAGATAGAGAGTTATATGTTTGGCCAAGATCACCTGGAAGACATAAATAGAAGGGAGCTTAACCGAGTGATAACTCAGTAACCGTAAGGCGAAAATTGCAGCACATGAAAATGCATATATGTACGACACAGGTGGCGATTTACCAATTATTCCGAACTTATATGGAGCATCTGGATGAATCTTTGGTGGCGTTTGGAACCAGAATTCGCGAGAAGATTCACCATCGCCGATCTTGTAATAATACTTAGTAGCATACTAAAGACATGGAAAGATCAGGAAGTAAATAACTCAGGCCAAGTCTGCAAAACACAATGAATTCAAACTAGTTCAAAGTGGAATTTACCTCAAGGCCATCAAGGAGGCACTCGTGAATGTATCCCGATTTGTACTTGTAGAAGGAATAGTTTGATACTGTCCCGTCAGCAGTCAAGTCATATTTCTTCTCTGACTTACCATACTGTACTTTAAGAGAACCAGGCTCGTCAGGTGTCACCCACGAAATGATCACAGCCTTCCCTTCATAGTCACCCTGTGTGATGTGTACCTACAATTTGTCGAAGCAAAGACAAAAAATTGTGATAAAAATGCAGTACATCCTCTCATAGCCAGTCAGAACAGAATCCTCAGACAATAACGAATTCTTGACCAAAAATGCATCGTCTTCCCAATTAAAGCAAGTTCAACACTCCATTTTTGGCACTTGTACAGCAAAAGCAATCCCTTCTCCAAGCCACTTGTTGTATAGTAAAAACAAGTTACCTGTTGGGGTGCATTTCGACCCTTAGGAACTGCAAATGCTTGATTATCAAGAGGGATATCAGTCGATGGCCACTCGGAACGGACAAAGGTACTCGTCATCTTCGCATTCCCATTGCTCAAACAACTCAAGAACAGAAAGAGCGCGGCAACAAGCCGAACCCACAACTGCTTCATCTTTTGACTTTCGACACAAACCCTTCCTACCAACTGCAGTAACTCAAATCACAACGAATTCGAACAAGGGTCAAGTTCAATGCTTTCTAATTCGAGAAAGAACAATGGATCAAAGCAGTAATTCCTTCCAAACTTGGAGACGGATGAATCAAAGCAGTAACTCAAATCACAAGGAATTCGAACAAAGGTCAAGTTCAATGCTTTCTAATTCCAGAAGAACCATGGATCAATAATGTGCTAGTTAAGGTCAATCTTGACTTAATTTTGGCTGCTACCCAGAAATTGAAAACGGAACAGGATCGCAAAGAACACAGTTTGGTAGAGAGAGAGAGAGAGAGAGAGAGAGAGAGAGGGAGATCAAAAGAGGAGACATTTCGTTACCAGCGGATAAGGTGACGAGGAAGCAGCTTGTGGTGGAGAGCTGGGGAAAGCAAATGATTGAAAGAAGCGATCTTTATTTAGAGTGAGCCACCGTAGTTAGAATGTCAGTATCGCTTCAGAATTACAGTTGCAGTTGAGAAGGCTTCGTGACGGAGGCGCAGGTTGAACCCGGTGGGGTGCGCGATAGCAGAACACAATGACGCCATCCATGCGTGAGTTTTGGCAGCAAAATTGTAGGCCCAACAAGCTGAATGTCAACCATGTACCTGGGTTGGGCCTGGCCCAACAAAAAGGTCCACAATTTCTGTTTCACCATCTGTGAGGAAGGAAAAGGAAACTCTTCGGAGAAGGAGATCGTTTTTTTTTTTCGCTCATCCAGCGGCGGCGAGTGAAGACGGCAGCAGAAGATCCTCCGTCGACGGCGGAAACCTCAAGAATTTCAACAGGTTTGTTCCCATATTCACTCTCTTATCGATCTCTGGATTCGTTTGGTTTTCCCGCCGTGGAATCAGTCGATTCCTTGCCCAGGTCTGAATTTGGTGTTTATGACTTATGAGTTTGCGCAGCTACCCTGGTTTGGAGCGAGCTCCTTTTCGCCATTGTTGTTGAAAAGAAGAGAACTTTTGAAGTTTGTGGTTGGGGGGGTTTTGGTTTCCTAACTCATTTGGATTGCTGATTTCAGTGTAATTCTCCCAACCATTTCCTTCGCAATGTTGTGGGCAAGTATAAGGCAGAAACTTGTAAATTCAGCTGGAAACGCTTCAATCGACCGTGGATTTACCAATTTGTGTGGTGGAGCTAGAGGGATCCCAGCCTATTCATGGCCGTTAAGGTTAGTTAATAACAACGTTGTTTAAAGCTTTCTTTCTGCTTAGGAAACGGCTAGTTTGGTTGCTGCTTGAGATTCCCTTTATGTGAATGTTGATAAAATAATAGGGTTTGTCTGCTGATCCATGGGATGTTGGGTTTTGAAAGCATAAGCTTGATTGCTGTTCATTTGATACCATTTCGTTATCAAGCAGAGACTTGTCGGGTTATGGAATGAATAGGTTGTTTTCCTCAGCATCAGAAGCTTCCTCAACAGGAAGTGAAACCCAGGTACAAAGTCTACACAGTTGGATTTCCTGTTAAGCTATGGCTTCCAATTGGCTCCTCCAATTGCTTTGAAAATCCTGGTAGTTGTATTGATTTGAAGACTGTGATGAACATGGCAGGCCCCTATGCCGAGGGCAATGTGGAAGGGTCCATTCGTGGATGCTTTCCTGTTGAAGTTGAAGAACAAGGGAGACCCGCTCAACAACAGGAAGATCTGGTCGAGGAGGTCGGTCATACTGCCTGAGTTCCTAAACTCCACCGTCAGGATATACAATGGGAAGTCGTTCGTTCGTTGCAAGATCACCGAGGCCAAGGTAGGACACAAGTTCGGGGAGTTTGCTCTCACGCGAAGGAGGAAGTTCAGAGGCAGCGACGGCAAAGGGGGTAAGACTAAGACTCTTAAGAAGGGTGGCAAGAAGTAGTAGCAGACTAGCAGCCTCATAATTGGCTGTTCTTTGTTTTACATCACTAGAGAATTTGCAGTTGGAACTTACAAAGATGAAAGATTTTGAGATGTGAGTTGCAAAATTTAGGATATGTTGCCATGGCATCTTAGTTTCTGAAGTCCATGGTTCTGATTTCCTGCATATTTGTTCATTCTACTGCTGCTAAACTGGAAAACAAACCAGTTAAGCGCTGTTATCGATTTTTCTTATCGATAGAGAACGATCTCAAACTGTCAAGCAACTGATTTCTCGCTTTGGATTCATACACGGGGTTTTCCGTTAGAATTCGCATTCGGGGATGGCATGTGAAACATGTAGATTAGGAACCAGTTCATTTCATCATATGCCACCCTCAATAAAACAAAAGAAACAGCCACGATTTCACCACCTACAACTGCTGACTTCTGTCCCCAGAAACAGGACCAGCTGATTGGGACTTCCTCCTGTTTCCAGACAAATCACTCATATTAATTTTAACAGCATCTTAATCTTTGCTTTTCTCATGGATCATTCATTATTCAAGTAATTGAACCCAGGGAGGCACGTTTTAGTGCAGTTGCAACATCTCTGTCCTTATCATTGCATCAAAATTACACAACAGAAGGTTGAATGTCAAAATTGATGAAGATTCATATATTTACAGTACTTGCATACTTGTGTTCATAGCATGTGTCAAATGGTAACGAGAATGGCTACGATATATGCACGAGCACGGCCGATCACGTGCATCTGTCAAGATAGCGTATTACACTGGTCGAATATCATCGTATTGCACCGTTATGAAAGTTTTGAGTGGTCGTGACGAGAAAGAACACAAGACACATGAGATGATTACTATAAGCATGATACGAAACAAAATTTGACATCACAATCACTCGAAGGCAAGACCTTTCACTGCGTGCATAAGGGGTCCTAACGAAAGACACTAGTATGTTCCCAGGTTACATCTTTACGCGTTTATGAGCTTAATTCAACAAATCACAGTGACCGTATAAACCAGAAGTGTCCACCATCGAAAGTGATTCATTTGTCATACCAAGAAAAAGATGAGTGGCGCAGAATCTCTCTCGCGTATATATAATAATGGCGGGACGTTAACGGCAACGAACTAACTTTCTCCAAATCCCCCCGCCTTAACTTTCTTTCACCCACACCAGAGTTCCAATCCAACTTCTCTTCATCCTCTGTTTTCCTTTTTTTTTTTTTGTGGGTAGAACATCCTCTGTTTTCTGGGTCAAGCAGTTGATTAGAAAACAGAGCACCGCCGCCGGCCGGCCGGCGATGAAAGACCCATCAGTCAAGGAAGAAGTGTCCCGGGTGCTCCAAGTGCTGGAAGCTCTCAAGCAAGCCTCACACGACCTCCAATCCCACCCGAATCCCACCTCCGCCGCCATGAATCCCCTGCTCCAGCTCGAAACAGAGTCCGACGGGATCCTGTCCGACGACCCGAACCTCTCCGCCCTCTCCCACCGTCTCGCCGAGCTCAAATCGCTCGTCGACGATTACAACCGCCGGTCCCCTAATCGGAGCAGCATCCGCAGCTTCTTGGCTCGCCGGGTTTCGACGCATTCCATCTCGAAAGTCGCCGGGTCGATCGAGTCCGAAATCCAGGCCTGGATCGATCGCGAGAGCGTCGAGAGCCTGGCCCGGTCGCTCAAGAAAGAACCACCTCCCGAGGGACATGAAGAACAAGAAGAAGAAGAGCTGGCGAGTCTATTGGGTCAATTCGAGAATCGAATTTCTCAAGGGTTCAACCGGGAGCTGCAGGATTTGGTCCTGAAGGCGAGGATATTCGGGTCGTTGGGTCGGATCCTCTGCGACCCGGGTCGGTCGATTCGGATCAGGGAGCTCTGCGCTTATTGTATCACTGCTCTCATCGGGTTCAACAAGGACGTATTCGCCGGATTCCTCACGGCGCCGCTGATTCACGCGCTCGTTTCGTTGGGGACCTGGAAATCGGTACGATTGCTCTGCTCCCTGATCAAATTGATCAGATCGTCGCTCGTCGACGAAATCGAGTACAGCGGCGAGATCCCGAGGATCATCCGGCTGCTGGACTGTAAAGATCAGGAGACGAAGGTTATGGCGATGGATTGCGTGCTGGAAATGGGGTATTTTGGGAGGAAGGAAGCCATCGACGCGATGCTTGGAGAAGGGTTGATCGAGAAGCTGGTGGAGCTGCAGAGATCGGAATTGGGCGGGGATTTGATCGGGATGGAGAGGTTTGACTCTGAATCTGAATTCGACTCTGATTCCGACGGCGGCGGAGAAGGGAAGAAGAAGAAGAAGAAGAAGAGGAAGGAGAAGGGGTTTTTGGAGAGGCACCCGTTTGCGAGCTGCGTGGCGAGATTCGCCGTGCAGTTGGAGGTCGGAGAAGGGTTGCGGCAGAGGGAGAAGAGGGCTCTGAAGCCGGAGATTCTGCGGCGGGTGAAGGAAGGCTGCGTCTCCGACGCCGAAGCCGCCACCATTGTCGCCGAAGTTCTCTGGGGATCCTCGCCGTGAATAAGTAAAACGCAGGGACAAGTGATCGTTTTGAGTTTTGGTTTGTTATGAAGACTAGTTTTCCTGCCCGCGCTCCGCGGCGGGATGAGAGTTATTTATATGTATATATAAAGAAACTAATTCATTTAATATCGGACAAAATCATATGCACGCTAAATTGAGTTTTGAAATTACTGAACAAATTTCATTTGATTTTCCGAGCAACAACGGCACCAAGCAATTTCGGAAAAAAGAATACATTTGGTTGTTTTAATCACAATGCCGATATAGAGAACACACTATATATAAAATAACAATATATCAAAAATAATGTAAACTTACTATCACATTTTTTATGAATCTTAATAATCATAGTTTATTTCATGTATAATCCATGCATTCTTCTATATAAGCCAAACAATTATTCTTAAAACCCACACATTGATAACCACACACTGTCACACATATAACAATATGCATACTTAGACAGACTTCAAAGAATACGTGCTTGTGCTTATATTGGAGCACCCAATTATTGACTATGATTTTCTGCCACATTAGTTACAAAACTGGATAATTTGGCAGAATACGTTTTCAACCAACCAGCCAAAAACTTGCCTACTATGGAAATACAAAATAATAAGCCTTCCTACTCTATATTTACCAACCACGGCATATGCTCAAACAACATCTGATCACCCATGTTTGGCCAATCACATCACAAACCAAATCCTCCTTCCACGATTACACAGCTTTCTTCAAATACAAAGAAGCAAGGATATATCGTATGAGCAAACAAAGGAACCATAAACTAACCAAGAGAAGAAATATAAGAGAAAATTTCAGGGACATAGCACCACACTACAAACTCTCATGCAGAAGATTGTTAGCGCCACACATAGGTCTGGACTCTCATTTCCATGGGAGCACAACAGAATTCTACACGATGGATCTTGACTGATCTCCCAATGCCACAACAGCTGCCAAATCTTTTCAATCACAGCAATGAACGGAATAGAATGTAATAAATAAGTTAACAAAATAAACAGAAAAAAGATGTCTTGCAACATAACAGAAAAGTATTACATGTGAGAAACTTATAATGGGCTGAATACAAAACTTAATCATCTGAACAAATAAAACTTGTCTATAAATAGAGTGATCTATAGTAATTCCTTGAAGGCTTGCCAGTGGTTTGATCACTCTGCAGCAAACAACAGTTACATAGTCAAAAGTCAGAACCTGTTGAATCAGACAAGAATAAGGGCACAGGAAAAGAGCTGGTTTTTGTTCATCAGAGGAGTAGGCATGAAAAAGAAAGAACTAACATCACAGAAAAATCATTATTCCCGCATCCACACACAATTGATTTGCTCAATATAAAATGGGGGAAAACACCCTAATCTTAGTGCAAAAAGAAGAATACCAGAGTAGAAACTTGAACACAAACCAACTGCTACTGCAAGGTTCAGATAACATACAAAATGATCGTTCACAACAGAGGAAAGCCAGATCGATTATTGAAAAAAAAAACAGAGGTAAGCCAGATCAGCACAGGGTAGGCAACAATATCCATACTTGTTTATTTATACCTTAGTGCCACATTATTTGTTGTCCAGTAAACCATCTATAAAAAAAAGCAAAGAATGAAACTCAAATTCTACGCTCATCTCATTGATAGCAAACAATAATAATAAGAAAGAGAGACGCAAAGTCAGGACAAACTCTCTAAAGCAGCCACAACATAGGCAACATCAGTTCTCTTACAAATGGAAAACAGCAAGTAAACCTTTTCAAACCCTATCCACCGCTTCTAAGAACCCTCTCGAAACCATTCAAATTCGTTGAGAAACCTAGAGTACCACGGATGTTTGCATGGAAGATGAAGGTAAAAGGACAAATTGGCAGGACAGATGACTGCAGATAAATAAAAAACTAAACATAACACAGAGACAGAACAATACACTCACGTGGTTTTAGAGGCCAATATTGCGCCTCCGCTCTGGTCAATAATGGGACAACGACGACGGGTAACGGTCCAACGGTGCATAATATGGAATTGATGAATAGACAATATGGTGGTCGACGTCGTTGGTTTCGGCAGTTCCAAACGTTCCTATCGGTCAAGATGGTGAGTTTCTCGCCGTGTCAACAATTAAGTCCTCGTCAAGGTGGAAAAACACCTTCCAGAAACAAAAACCCATAAAACAATACAGAATTTCAGATCTGTGAACCCTACAAACAATAGGCAACAAAAACATCTCTATAAGGACACAGAAAAAATAATACCGGAAGCCAAAACAGAACCCACGAATCCTCTTGACATTCTCCTGGTCGCCTTAAGATTGTAGGTAGACACATCAACATTTTAATCACAGTTTTATTTCAAATTCCCCTTCTCTGGCATAAGGATAAGAGAAAACAAAGGCACTCTGGACCAAAGATTGCGAGAAAGGCATTTCGCAGCTTGAGATCTTCGTCTGTGCTCCTGATCTGGATCTCCACCGGAGAAGGATTCTCGGATAACCGTAGCCGCCGGCGGGTTGCAAGTAGTGGCTGGATGCCAATTATTTCAGAGAAAACAGAGAGAGAAGAGGAAGCGGTGTACTTAATCATCATTGGCAGTGGGAAGCATAAAAAAAAACAACTAATAAAGAAGAGGTGTTAGGTGAAATGAGTGGACCATAAAAGAACAACGCGGTATTCTATCCACCAAAGAAAGAGAGAAAATATCCCTGTCCCTGACTCTTTTCT